GAAGTTAGATGCAGTATTTTGTTAAAATTATTTATTTGTTCACTGAGACAGTCTCACTGTGTCACCCAGGCTGGAGTGCAGTGGCGTGATCCCGGTTCACTGCAACCTCTGCCTCCATGAAAATAGCGATTTTCATGCCTCAGTCACCCAAGTAGCTGGGATTATAGGCGTGCACCACCATGCCCAGCTGATTTTTGTATTTTTAATAGAGACAAGGTTTCACCATGTTGACCAGGCTGGTCTCAAACTCCTGGCCTCAAGTGATCTGCTCACCTCAGCCTCCCAAAATTCTGGTATTACAGGCTTGAGCCACCATGCCCAGCCTTGGATACACTATTGAATAGCATGTAAGAACATTAACTTTGGTCACTCACTTGAGTTATAATCCACGTAGAAGCATTGGGGCCTTGGGCAAATCTTATAAATTATCTGAGCTCCTGAATGGTAATCTGTAAAATGAGACCAAGTATATACAGCTCATATATTGCTTGAAATCATTAAATTAAATATAAATGAATTGATACATGCAAGGCGTCCAATAAATACCTCTGATAATAGATCTTCTTTTGTGCATTTCTACATTTCCTCTCCCATCACATGTCAACTAGTTTATAGAAGATCTCTGATACAGATTATACTTTCTTGCTGTTGTATGTCCAGGCCTTTGTTCAATGCCTAAGATGAAATGTGCCCTCAAGAAATATTTTATAAATGAATAAATGCATGAATGAACCATTTTGTAAGTAGAAAGGTTGGGAGGTTAATGGGATAATGAGAACAGCCAGAAACTAAAATTGAATAGGCATCTGTAGTCAGTGTAGGTGTGGGGTCTAAGTCTCTCTGAAGCAGTAAAGAAGGGGAGACTAGAGTATGTAGAAAGGTAGATGCTAATTTGATGGTAGGAGATTTCACATTTTCTTATGAAACAAGGACGAACACTCCAGACTCCCAATTTTACCCATCTACTCTTCTCCAACCTAGAGCTCAGGAGGAAGGAGATTGAAGGAAAGATGTATAGCCTGAGAGAAAGAAAGGGTCATGCATACAAAGAGGTCAGTGAGCTGCAGGATGATGACTACCTCTGTTGGCCCTTTTGGCCACTCTCACAGCTTGCTGTTATGTCCTGGTACAATAATTTCATCATTTGGCCCACAAATCATTCCTTCACTCTAACGAATTAGAGTATAAGATTGGGGCTAAATAATGTGAGCACCGAACTCTTTCTGAAGCTCTTATATCGAGGAACATGCATTATAACTTTCCTAATCCCTGCTTCCCTCACTTCCAGATTGTGATGTGTCAGAACTTCTTCACTGACAGCTGTGCTGCTCATGGGCCCCCTACATTTGTAAAAGACAATGCAGTGAACAAAGGGCATCCCAACCGTTCAGCCCTCAGTCTGCCCCCGGGGCTGAGAATTGGGCCATCAGGCATCCCTCAGGCTGGGCTTGGAGTATGGAACGAGGCATCTGATCTGCCGCTGGGTCTGCACTTTGGCCCCTATGAGGGCCGAATTACAGAAGACAAAGAGGCAGCCAACAATGGATACTCCTGGCTGGTAAGAAGAGCCTACTGTTTCCCTGTTCTGTCTTCCCACATCCCTTCTGTGCCTTTGGTGAGATATCACCTTCTACATGTTAGGATATAGGTATGGATAACATGGTTAGCTCTGTGTACTCAAGGGTCCTTGCATGAACATGGAACTCCTATTTAGAGATCAGAGGGTACCTGGGAGCAAAGTGGTACAAAGACAAAGAAGTGCATCCTCCCTTGTGGAGCTTCTGCTCTGACTAGACAAACCAACTGAGATGTGTAGATGATGACTAAGGTGCAGGCCATGTGGTCTCAGTTGGCAGTTGAAGCTCTGCAGGCCCAAAGGCCATTGATGACAGTGGAGTAAAATAATTCTTCTGATTTTTACCCTCTAAAAAGCTTTACCTTATTTTTCTGAAACTCAGATCACCAAGGGGAGAAACTGCTATGAGTATGTGGATGGAAAACATAAATCCTGGGCCAACTGGATGAGGTAAGGCCAGTAGCTCTCTGAGTTTCAGACAGAACCTTCATCTCTCACAAACCTGGATCTCCTTCTTTCTCATTATGCCTCCTTCAATGACTTTCACATCCCCTATTTCTATTTTTCTCCATACAATGCTGTTTTATACCGTCAACATTTAGAAATAAAAACCAAAAATATAGATATTATGATTTATTGATATCAAAACATAAATATGTATGATAGACAAAATTGAGGCACCAAGATAAACCTTGAGAAGCCTAGATTCACGGGGGACACTGAATTCATGCTTTAATATATGTAATCCACATTTATTAAGCACTTAGTATGCTCCAGGTTAGGAAGTGAAGTTCACTACTTGAACAGAAGCGAGCTTCAGGATGACCCAACCCCTTTCCACAATGGGCTCTCGTTCTATCAGAGAATAGAAAAACGAATCCACTATTACTGTTCTCTGTTGTTGGGCCAAGAGAAAAAGACTTCTAAGTTTCTCTGGGAATCTGGGGAACTCAGGTGAATGGCACCTGAGTGAACTGTAGGGTGATTAGAGGAAGGCCTATCCAAGAAAGATGGACTTGGGCTGAGTGTAGAATGATGTGTGCTAATCTAGAAACAAAGCACATGATCCAGCACCAAGTTCTGTGTATAAAACAGAATTAATTTAGAGTTTAGAGAAGCTAGAGGTCAATGTGTTTTATGGCCAATCAAGGTGGAGGTAGGTCTGGAGTTGGGCTTTGAAAAAATGGTTAATTAGGCACAGCAGGGAAGCATTCTAGGCAGGATGAGCAGTGTAGTCAGAAGTGCAAGTTCATATGACATTGTGAAAGAGATTTAGGAATGAGCAGAAGGTTCCTAGAGGAGTGGTGGGGGAGTGGTCAGCACTAGACCATGGAGGCCTAGACCAGCAGGTGATGGGTCAGACCTGGATCTGACAGATACTGGGAACTCACTGCCTCTTTTCTTTCCCTTTGCCTGTCTTGACCCCAGGTATGTGAACTGTGCCCGGGATGATGAAGAGCAGAACCTGGTGGCCTTCTAGTACCACAGGCGGATATTCTATAGAACCTGCTGAGTCATTAGGCCAGGCTGTGAACTGCTGGTCTGGTATGGGGATGAGTACAGCCAGGAACTGGGCATCAAGTGGGGCAGCAAGTGGAAGAAAGAGCTCATGGCCGGGAGAGGTAGGCATCACTACTACTCTTTTAAAAGGATAGGAAAGAAAGAATTATCCTAGAGAATTTTCATGGTTTAACTCTTTTTTTTTTTTTTTTTTGAGACGGAGTCTTGCTCTGTAGCCCAGGCTGGAGTGCAGTGGCCGGATCTCAGCTCACTGCAAGCTCCACCTCCCGGCTTCACGCCATTCTCCTGCCTCAGCCTCCCGAGTAGCTGGGACTACAGGCGCCCGCCACCACGCCCGGCTAGTTTTTTGTATTTCTTAGTAGAGACGGGGTTTCACCGTGTTAGCCAGGATGGTCTCGATCTCCTGACCTCGTGATCCGCCCGTCTCGGCCTCCCAAAGTGCTGGGATTACAGGCTTGAGCCACCGCGCCCAGCCCAACCCGGCTAATTTTTATGTGTTTTGTACAGACAGGGTTTTGCCATGTAGCTCAGGCTGGTCTTGAACTCCTGGGTTCAAGCCATCCTCCCACCTCGGCCTCCCAAAGTGCTGGGATTACAGATGTGAGCCACCACACCCAGTCTGTGAGAAAAATTATTTATTTATTTTATTTTATTTTTGAGACAGAGTTTCACTCTTGTCACCCAGGCTGGAGTGCAGTGGCGCGATCTTGGCTCACTGCAACCTCCACCTCCTGAGTTCAAGTTGTTCTCCTGCCTCAGCCTCCCAAGTGGCTGGGATTACAGGGGCCTGCCACCACACCCAGCTAGTTTTTTGTATTTTCTGTAGAGACGGGGTTGGCCGGACTGGTCTAAAACTCCTGACCTCAGGTGATCTGCCTTCCTCGGCCTCCCAAAATGCTGGGATTATAGGTGTGAACCACTACACCCAGCGAGGAAAATTATTAATCTCACATTCATACTGTATTAAGTAGCTCAAAAAACACTTAGTGAACATTATTATCTTTCGTGTTCACTACAATATTAAGAATTAGCGCCAGGGGTAGTGGCTCACACCTGTAATCCCAGCACTCTGAGAAGCGGAGGTGGGCAGATCACCTGAGGTCAGGAGTTTGAGACCAGCCTGGCCAACATGGTAAAACCCCATCTCTACTAAAACTACAAAAATCAGTTGGGCATGGTGGTGGACACCTGTAATCCCAACTACTCAGGAGGCTGAAGCAGGAGAATCACCTGAACCTGGGAGATGGAGGCTGCAGTGACCTGAGATTGTGCCACTGCACTCCAACTTAGGCAACAGTGAGACTCCCTCTCACAAAAAAAAAAAAAAAGAATTAAAAAATTAGCATGGGCTGGGTGCGGGGGCTCTTGCCTATAATGCCAGCACTTTGGGATGCTGAGGTGGGTGGATCACTTGAGGTGAGGAATTCGAGACCAGCCTGGCCAACCTAGCGAAACCCTGTCTCTAATAAATACACAAAAATTAGCTGGGTGTGGTGGTGCCTATAATCCTAGCTTCTTGGGAGGCTGAGGTAGGAGAATCTCTTGAATCTGGGAGGTGAAGGCTACAGTGAGCTGAAATCATGACACTGCATTCCAGCTTAGGCAACAGAGCAAGACTCCAAAAAAAAAAAAAAGCAAGCATGCATGCCAATTTCTGGATCAGGAAACTAAAGAGAATTAGCTAACAATATACCCTTATTCAAGCAGACAAGCAGAATTGGTACAGGAATTAACTAATCTAATTCCAAAGCCAAATATTCTTTCCAGGATATGGCAACATGCAACTTTGACATCATTTTCTTAGTTGTCTAGATATATTTTTGCCAATCATCTCTTTGTTCTGTTCCCAACCTTACTGCCCTATTACCTCATTTTCTGCATGTGCTTTGTCCCTCTGCTTTTCTACATTTCCCTTTCCATCAAAAGTCTACTAGTTTATGGAAGATTCCCTCCTTCTCTCTGTAAGCCCTTATCCCCTTCTTTCACAGATCTCCTTGATTCTCCAGCTAGTCTTCCCAAGTATTCTTTCTCCTTCCCTTTAACTTATACAGAACATTTTGAGAGACAGTTGAAGGAAAGAGCCTTAAGACATGGGTTAGAGTCCCAGATTCACTACCCACTTAGACCTTTTCTTTTCCCTCTAGTATTTAGACACTCTAGGTATTTCCAAGGTTTGAACATTAACTAGAGTCATGCATATGAAAACATGTTGCAAGCCATAAAGAACTAAAGAAGTGCATGTTATCTTTTAATATGTGACTCTCACATTAAAGGAAATGCCCAAGACATCATTCAATAATGAATCTAGTTTGAAAGAATTGTCAGGAACGCCAAGTTTACTGAGTACAAGTGGCTCAGAGCAGGCTCAGAAACCAGCGTCCCCTCCTGGAAAAGCAAGTACCTCTGGACAGCACTGTAGACTAAAACTGGGTAAGAAAAAGTATGGGGGAACTTTAGTCCCTCTATGTCCTCTAGAAAGGTTGATGAGTATGGTCTACCTATATGGGGTGGACTTTGGATAGGCCTGGGCTTAAGCTGGACTCAACTGTGAGAGCAGAAGTTAGATGCAGTATTTTGTTAAAATTATTTATTTGTTCACTGAGACAGTCTCACTGTGTCACCCAGGCTGGAGTGCAGTGGCGTGATCCCGGTTCACTGCAACCTCTGCCTCCATGAAAATAGCGATTTTCATGCCTCAGTCACCCAAGTAGCTGGGATTATAGGCGTGCACCACCATGCCCAGCTGATTTTTGTATTTTTAATAGAGACAAGGTTTCACCATGTTGACCAGGCTGGTCTCAAACTCCTGGCCTCAAGTGATCTGCTCACCTCAGCCTCCCAAAATTCTGGTATTACAGGCTTGAGCCACCATGCCCAGCCTTGGATACACTATTGAATAGCATGTAAGAACATTAACTTTGGTCACTCACTTGAGTTATAATCCACGTAGAAGCATTGGGGCCTTGGGCAAATCTTATAAATTATCTGAGCTCCTGAATGGTAATCTGTAAAATGAGACCAAGTATATACAGCTCATATATTGCTTGAAATCATTAAATTAAATATAAATGAATTGATACATGCAAGGCGTCCAATAAATACCTCTGATAATAGATCTTCTTTTGTGCATTTCTACATTTCCTCTCCCATCACATGTCAACTAGTTTATAGAAGATCTCTGATACAGATTATACTTTCTTGCTGTTGTATGTCCAGGCCTTTGTTCAATGCCTAAGATGAAATGTGCCCTCAAGAAATATTTTATAAATGAATAAATGCATGAATGAACCATTTTGTAAGTAGAAAGGTTGGGAGGTTAATGGGATAATGAGAACAGCCAGAAACTAAAATTGAATAGGCATCTGTAGTCAGTGTAGGTGTGGGGTCTAAGTCTCTCTGAAGCAGTAAAGAAGGGGAGACTAGAGTATGTAGAAAGGTAGATGCTAATTTGATGGTAGGAGATTTCACATTTTCTTATGAAACAAGGACGAACACTCCAGACTCCCAATTTTACCCATCTACTCTTCTCCAACCTAGAGCTCAGGAGGAAGGAGATTGAAGGAAAGATGTATAGCCTGAGAGAAAGAAAGGGTCATGCATACAAAGAGGTCAGTGAGCTGCAGGATGATGACTACCTCTGTTGGCCCTTTTGGCCACTCTCACAGCTTGCTGTTATGTCCTGGTACAATAATTTCATCATTTGGCCCACAAATCATTCCTTCACTCTAACGAATTAGAGTATAAGATTGGGGCTAAATAATGTGAGCACCGAACTCTTTCTGAAGCTCTTATATCGAGGAACATGCATTATAACTTTCCTAATCCCTGCTTCCCTCACTTCCAGATTGTGATGTGTCAGAACTTCTTCACTGACAGCTGTGCTGCTCATGGGCCCCCTACATTTGTAAAAGACAATGCAGTGAACAAAGGGCATCCCAACCGTTCAGCCCTCAGTCTGCCCCCGGGGCTGAGAATTGGGCCATCAGGCATCCCTCAGGCTGGGCTTGGAGTATGGAACGAGGCATCTGATCTGCCGCTGGGTCTGCACTTTGGCCCCTATGAGGGCCGAATTACAGAAGACAAAGAGGCAGCCAACAATGGATACTCCTGGCTGGTAAGAAGAGCCTACTGTTTCCCTGTTCTGTCTTCCCACATCCCTTCTGTGCCTTTGGTGAGATATCACCTTCTACATGTTAGGATATAGGTATGGATAACATGGTTAGCTCTGTGTACTCAAGGGTCCTTGCATGAACATGGAACTCCTATTTAGAGATCAGAGGGTACCTGGGAGCAAAGTGGTACAAAGACAAAGAAGTGCATCCTCCCTTGTGGAGCTTCTGCTCTGACTAGACAAACCAACTGAGATGTGTAGATGATGACTAAGGTGCAGGCCATGTGGTCTCAGTTGGCAGTTGAAGCTCTGCAGGCCCAAAGGCCATTGATGACAGTGGAGTAAAATAATTCTTCTGATTTTTACCCT